TCTTGGAGATTGACGAAACAATTGGAAAGGGAAGGACAGGTTCAGCCCCTCCGACCGGATGAGCTGTATATATCCGCTATGGAAGACAACATACACTGTAAAGGGCGGATAACGAACGTGCATATACGGGTGGGGCGGGTGCATTGTTTGTGCGACGCAATCGTGCTGGATGTACAGGCGTATGATGTTTTGCTAGGCATTCCGTGGCAGGCGGCGGTCGGAGCGCGAATGCACTTTGACAGCTGTAAGGTGGTGCTCACATCGGCCCACCCCAAACCACAAACGATACCAATGAGATTGGCGGTGCGTATGCGTACCCAGTCGGCGCTTCGAATCACCACGAAAGCCCACCAAATCAATATGATCGGACGCCTGTCGCCAGGCGAAAATGAAACCTCATTGGGAAATGACGAGACTGACGTTCCCGACCGGTATCCAATCCGGGTTCAGGATCGGTGGCGCCATTCTTGGCGACGAGAAACCCTGGAAATAGTTCGGAGCGAGTCCAATTGGTCGCACGCGTTCTCCTCCGTGGTGCAGGGGTAACCCCTGCTGAGGGTGTCACGAATAACTGACCTTTTGGAACCTCCTGCATCCCTATATCTCATGACGGACCCCCTACCTGAAAGATTTACCCAGCTTAGGGGGCTGTCCGATTTATCTTTTCGACCTCCACGGCCCCTACTCACGAATGAAAAAGCCGCGATACTCTTGAAAGAGGGGGTGTCGTTTCAACGCCGAACAAGGAAATATCGGTGGGGACCGAGGGAACTGACGCAGACCTTTTTGGTAGAACCCTCGGCTGAACCCGAACTGGACAGTGACAGTGACATGGAAAGCGAGCCGATGAGTCCGGCGGACAAAACTTATTGCGACTGTCCTTTCGGCGAAAACCGACAACTCTTTGTTTGGGGCCTCACCCGATGCCAGCGCGGCGGTCCCCACGGCTATGACGACGGTCTCCCTTCCTGGGGGAACCGTAGAAGTTCAGTTACCAGCCCGTGTTCCGAATGAATACAGACACCTCCTCCTGCTGGTTATACGGGCCGATTTTGAGGCCGTCATAATTCAGGACCACGACATAGGGCTAACCCCTTTGATACAGCACGCGATTGATACCGGGGATCACGCCCCGATACATTACCGACTGTATCGATATTCCCTTAAAGAAAGACAGCTGGCGTTGGAAAGGGTACGGGAATTCGAGCGGTTGGGGTGGGTCGAACCATAGCTGGGACCGTGGTCTTTTCCCGTGGTCCTCATGCCAAAACAAAATGGTTCGGTCCGGGTGTGTATCGACTACCGAAAATTGAACGCTATCACTACGAAAGTTGTGTATCCCTTGCCGCGAATCGACGATTTATTAGATGCTATCGGGTCTGCTCGAGTCTTTTCCAAGTTCGATATCCGACACGGTTTTCACCATGTCGCAGCCCGACCGGAAGACCGACCCAAAACCGCTTTTGTCCTATTTGAGGGCACATGGCAATGGGTCCGGTGTCCTATGGGAATTTGTAACGCCCCTACAACGTTTCAGCGAGCCATGAATATGGCCTTCGCTGAGTTCGTTAACAAAACCCGACTAACCCAGCCCCTGATCAATTTCTGTGTGATTGTGTACATGGATGATATTTTGGTCTTTTCAAAAACACACGAGTACCACGTGGAACACATTGAGTGGGTTTTGCATGCACTAAGCGATCCGGGGTTCAAAGTGGCCTTGGAGAAAAACGAGTTCTCCTTGTCGGAGATCTCATTCTTGGGGTACATCGTCACAGTCGATGGACTAAAAACGGATCCGAGGGAGGTGGCAGCAGTTCAAGAAGCCCCAGCGCTGGTCACACTCACCCAGGTTCGGGCTTTTCTAGGGCTGGCATCCTATTACTGACGCTTCATCAAGGGGTTCACCGGTGTAGCGAAGCCCCTAACGAACCTGCTGAAGAAAGAGGAGCAGCTGATTTGGGCGTCGGAATGCGAAGCGACGTTTCAGGCGTTGAAGGAGGCTCTGACATCTGCTCCCGTGACAAGACCGTTCGCACTGTACACCGATTGGCAGCCGCAGGCAATATCGGCGGTGCTGACTCAGCACGGGGSGGACGGAAGGGAACACGTCATTGAGTATGCGTCCAAGACGCTGAGCCAGGCGCAGGCTAATTACGAAGTGTGCAAAGGAGAATGCCTGGCGGTGGTGTGGGGGATTCAGCATTTTCGACCGTATCTTTACGGCCAGAAATTCGTGCTGGTAACGGATCATCAGCCGCTGCCGTCCCTACGCAACAACACGGATTACACGGGGACGCTGGGAAGGTGGGCGGTGCGTCTGCAGGACTATGACTTCGACATCCGCCACCGTGCCACGCGGCAGCATGGCAACACCGATGGATTGACGCGCCTCCTGCCGCCCAACAAGTGTCCCGCCAACGAGCGACTCATTCCGTGGAGGCCAAAAGCCGCAACGACGAAACCGCACTACCGGGAGCTACACGTGCTGCGCAAGGACGACGCCTGAGTCCGGAAGGGAAGTTTCGCCGGAGATCGCAGGCGCTACCTCTTTGCCCTCATCCAACTCCCTCGCTCTCTCGTCTAGTCCCTACTCGTCCCCTGAAACACATCTAAGTCCCTGTTTCTTCTGTACCTTGCCTATGGTCCCGGACCAAGAAGGGTCACATCCAGGAGGGCCCAATTTTCTTTTGTGGGTGCAGTGTAGTCAGTGTCAAGCGGTCAAATCCCACGGACAATGCGTTAGGTACCGAAGTGAAAAGACGTGGGTCTGTTCCAACTGCAGAACATACCAAGTCCCTACCGGGAAACGGTATCTGGACGCACGGACAGCCGACGGATTCGCGCCAAGTGCCCGCCGGGCAGAAGTTTGGACGGACCTTCTGTTGCTACGGAGGCTGTCAGGCGACTCGTTGTCAGAACTTACCAAAGCCGAGCAGCGGAGAGTCACGGAGCGGGCGCAGGACTATCGCTGGCAGGGACCGACGTTAGAAAAACGAAAAGTCGATGATGACGGAGGGTCTAGCTGGTTGACGGTTCCGCACCCTTTCGCTAGGTTCGATTGGACACGAGCCGCTCATGAAGAGGATGCGGTCCATTTCGCGGTCAAGTACACGGAAAAAGCCATCGAAAAGAATGGATGGTACTGGTCGGGAATTCGAAAAGATGTGAAATACATCGTCCAGAATTGCCCGGCCTGCGTGGCGGACAAGGCGCCGGTACAGATGCCTCGGACGATGGTACGTACTCGTGTAGAGCGCCCCTTTCAGAGGGTTAGCATCGACACGACGAATATCAACGTTCTGAGAGGTCCCGTCGATCAAGGAGAACTCAATGTTCTCTTAGTGGTCGTCGATCATTTCTCGAAATGGATCGAGGCGTACCCTATGACCAGCCGGAATTCGCAGGAGGTAGCCTGGTACGTAAACCGATTTTTGTGCATGCATCTAGACGTAGAAGAGGTACACATGGACAATGGGTCGGAATTTCAAGGCGAAGTAGAACGTCAGCTAGTCAGGGCGGAAGTTAAGATTATCTACTCGCCGGGGCATTGGCCTCAAGCCAATGGCCTGGTAGAGAATGCCAACCGACTGATTAAGACCGCCCTTAGACGGAATATCACTGCGGGAGACACCCGTCCCTGGCCTGTCATTGTCGACCACATCTTGGCCATTTATCGGGCTACCCCACACGGTAGTACTGGGGTGTCCCCCTTTCAATTGAGAACCAATAGTGTCCCTCGGGTGCAGTTGTCCCCCTTGGTAGGTATGGAAGTTAGAGCAACACGGGCCCAACACAGAGATAAGGCCCGCCACTACATGGACTTAATGGCTAGGGCCTATCCCCCGTTAGCTCGCCGTTGATAGCGGGCCATAGATCGGATGCATCAACGGCAGATCCCTGACTACGAGAATCGGCACGCGTCGGCGCGACCACTGCCCCGCAATAAAGTTGGGGACTTGGTTCAGGTACGGAAATCCGCGCGCTCCTCCAAGATCCACCCACGCTACACAGGCATTTACGAGGTAACGGAAGTTGGCGCACAGGGACAGCACTCCGTGAAGCTGATTCCCTGTCACAGCTCCCAGGCCCGACCGCTAACACTGCACGCTGCCGCGCTCCAGCCCTTCCAGCCATCGCAAGGTCACATATGGACCCCCGCTCCTGCGAGATCATCCTCCGCTTCTTTGTCTTCCTCCTCTTCCCGATCTGCCTCGTCCATCGGTGCTGAGAGTTTCAGGGAGCAGGATGAACCATCGCCAACCGGAGCATGAGCCCCTCGAGCATTTCCAGACGCCGCTTGCAGATCGCTTGTTGCGGCATCAGCTCAATGAGGAAAGGCAGTTGCGGTACGACATTCAGCAGGTGAACATGCCAGCGCCCGGGGTTGCGGATCTGGCGGCGTACTCGTTACTTTGCGATCGGCTGACGTATGCGGGGGTGTACGTGGACGTGACGCAGTTGCTTGGGCGGAAAACAACTCAAGTGTTTATCAAGTTCCGCGCGCTCCAGGTGGTACCCAACTTCGTACATAGCGTCGCTTCCTTTATCGGAGACTTGACGATCGTGCCGCAGCCGAGTCGGGAGCTGGCGCGGAGTTTTGTGCGCGAATACGCGGTGCAGGCGGCCAGATCAGTGGCCAGAGTGCAAGGACGGGGGGGACACCGATTCACAGCCCACAAAGCGCTGCTGCGCAGGGCAGAGGACAGACCAATCGCGTTGGTGCCATAGCTCCCTGCGCTTCCTCCTCCTGCTGCACCTCTCAACATCCAAGCTCTTCCCCCTGCCCCGTACTAAATGCCTCCCTTCTTCTCTTACACCACTCTCCCCTATTAACTCACGGAGGGCCCTTATCCTATGCGCGAATTCTCAGAGTATCTGGTGGAGCTAACTGACGTGGAACCGCTGCCCTTCGCAGACGAAGATGCGTGGGAGTTGCACCGTGTGTTGTATAAGTCGGTGGCGTTGGGGATGTTTCGATTTCTCGTGGATCATGAAGACCACTGCATTGGGGAGCACTTCGTCGTCTACTACGTCATCACATGGCGCAAGCCAGCGCAAAAGGAGGGGATGGTGGCGCTGTACCCATCCACCTCCAGACGATCGATCCAGGATTGTTGGAGCTCATACATCTTGAGCTCCTCTCCATTGCGCAAGTGATCGCGAGCGAGGAAGAGGAGATCCAACCACGATTGCGGACGACCAGGGCCCTGCGGAGAACGTACAACGCGGTCGTCATCCCGGATTACATTGCGCATCGCGCGGAGAGGTTGGAGGACTTCCCGGAGGAAAAGCCGTTGTGGCCTCCCTCGTCGTATCCCCGACCGGCGCCACCCAAGGCCGCCAAGAAGACGCCGACGAGGAAGAGACGCCACCCGTCGCCAGGAGCGCAAGGCAGCAAAATCGGTGGCGGCGAGGAGGTGATTCAGCCCGCGCATACGCGAAATCTTGACCCCGTGCTGGGAGTGCGGCGACGCTCATTAAGGAGACTGTCGTGCCATCGCCGCCCTTCCCTCGCGTGCCCGATCTCAATCTTGATGGAGCCGGGCCATCAGCAGCAGCAGCAGCCGGGGGAGGAAGCCGAATGGGATTATCGGATCCCATATCCAGACCCCCCGTCCTCGCGAGACCTCTCCGCTTCCGCCAGCCACCCCGGGGTGCCCCGATCATTGACATTAGCAGTTCCTCCGAGCCGGAAGGTCCTTCCGACAGAGGTGGATTTCATGGTGGAGCCCACCACCATCAGGCTCGAGGCCATTGCGGGGGCGCCGCGCCCTGATCCGGCGTGGGAGCCATATCTGACACCCCCTTTTCAAGGGTGTATTGCGGCGCGACTGGCTGGGACGCTCATCTACGAGACCAGGCAGCGTCCCAATGTGATATACCACTTCCTTGTCTTCGCGGCGTAGAAGCGGGAGCGGCGGCCTTACATCGAGACTCATGTGGTGATGACGGGTCCAGGGCCCCGATCGGTGCGCAAGCGGGTGGTGCGAGCGGTGGCGGATCTGGCGCCACGTGTCCTGTCTCATGTGCCGGGGGCCTTCCTCTACCCCTCGTTCGTCCAGCACCACTTCCATGAGGAAGATGCGCCGACGACTCCCGCGGCAATGACTGCTTTTCTTCCACCTATTCCACTACCTCTCAATCCCGACATCGATCACTTCCTCTTATCACCCTTGTCTACCTCTCCCCTCTTCTCTCCTTCTCCTTCTCTTCATCATCTTCTTCTCCTATGCCCAAAGTTCGCGCGTCGAGACGCGCTGTTCAGTTGAATGTCTAATTCAGGCAGAATAATTTGACTGAACATTTTGGCATCTCGTTTGATGAAAAATGCTATTAAGTCCAAAAACTTTTGATCTTGAATTCRTGATAACAAGGCGCCGCTTATACACTGAGCTTCGCCCTTCACTAACCATTTTGTGTTTTTCCAATTTCGTACTTTGCGCAATGCTTTATGAGGCCCAGTAGAAGAGGGCAATTCATAGATAGCATCCACAATCATTTCAATGACTTGGCTAATGATGTATCTTTCTTCCAAACTYAGCGCTGACCAATGTTGAGTTTTCATAAGTTGAATGATTTTGTGTATTTTAACTTCATTTTGGAAAGAGTTTTTTAGTATAGATTGGTATACTTGTTTTTGAAATAAGACTCTATACAAATTGCTATTTTTAAAATGCATGGCCCTCTTTGTCTATCATAAAGCGAATTTTAGAGTCAGCCTTGATGGCCTCCAAACGTTCGATTTCATGGTCGCATCTGCAAACGAGAATTTGGAACCCAGATACTTTGCTCCCCTTCATTGTGGTTGACCGAGGGTCCACAGGAGACTACTATGGGAGCTC